ACCATTCTAGGATTCTGTGATTCTGCAATGACTTTCTGAGCACTTGGCTATACAGCCTTGAGATCCTTCACCACAGAAAATACTCTGGCTGTTGACTGCTCCATTGCCTAAGGTTCATGGTCAGCTCCTACTGATTTTCTTTGCCAATCACTGCATGCGTTTGTTATTTTTGCCAGCGTAGGCATACTTCCAAGAGTTTTCTAGGTGTTCCAAGAAACAGTCAATGTCCAAGATAGGCTTTTAAATTTTAAGGGTTTTTTTCTTATGGCAGGACTAAATCCATGAGATGCTATGGCCCATGGCCCTGGGGCAGATGGTTGTGTCATTGGTGTGTTGCAAAGTGAAAAATATATTACTATGCAACTGTAAAAGCTGCTTGGGCATCTTGTCCAGACACCTTCTTTCCAGAATTTTGGTCTGTAGACCTGTGTGTAGCTTTAATATGGCAGTGGAAGGGGGTACCTTATTTCATCTTAAAATTTAAGGTATACAACACTATAATCATCTCTTCTTCATTTCACTGCCTTTAGACTCTTTGTACTGATTTTTCAACAAGCATCACTTGATGTGATGTGTACTGCCAGCAGTGACAGCCAGCCCACCTGAGCTGTGGACCTGTACTGTCTCATCTGGAATCCTCTAGCTCACTCCAAGAGACTTCATGAATTTAGTATATACATTGCTGACCAGCACAGATTACATACTTGTATCCCTCCCTCTAGTGAGCTACCAAAAATCCATTCTTTCCATACAGAACTAATTTTCCTGCCCCCCCCAAATATTAACTATCAGCCAAGATTCATGCTCAACATGAGAAAAAATCAACTTTTAACTTGTCCCACTATGTTATGATCTTACTTTTAAATCCTTATTTGGCATTTAAGTAATGAAATCTTGACTCAACTAAAAAGCTCATTAACTGAGCATAACTTTTGCTTTAATTTGATGGACAAACATACATTTATGTTATTATCCGAGTTCAGATTTTATTCATCTGGGAGGTCACTAGCCCTGCTACAAATATAGTTTGTAGTGTATAGGAGCCCTTCTAGAGAAACAAGTTTTCCCTAAGTCTTGTGGACAGGAAGCATTCATTCTAACCTGTTTCTGCCAGTCACTTACAGGAAAATAAGAAAATACTGTAACTACTTTCTGCTTTGTTTCTTTCCAAAATTACAGATTTAGATAGCTGCAAATCTTTTTTGGCTGAAGATTTGTGTCCCCCATTTCCTGTAACAAGTAAAATCAGTACAAAACAGCACCCTGAGGACAGCAGCAGAGTGAGGATGCTACTGGGATAAAACACACGAGGACAAAACTCTTCTACCTGCCAGAGTGGCTATTGTAACAAGTAATATGAGCACATAGTTTTGAAGTAGAACTGAAATTCCTTTTAGGGTACTATTTTAATGCTCAAATTTTGGTTTCTTTTAGAATGCAAAATTGTATTTCCCCGGCAAGGAAGAGTGTCTGTATTTTAAAGAACACACTGTAAGAACATGATTACTGTTGTACTGACCCAAGCAAAGGTGGCATCCAGTCCAGTCTCCTCTCTCCAAGTCACCTGTAGTAGATATCTAAGGAATCATTAAAAGAACAAGGCAGTGGTAGTCTCTTGTGGATATGATGTGCAATACTGGGGTTAGCCTGGAAAGTATTATTTTTTATTAGACCAAGATATATAGGTGGAAAAATGAGACAAACTTTTGGTCATATAAACTTTTATTTGGGTTAGAAATGGCAGTTTTCAGCTAAGAACAACTGCTTAACGTTTACTAATACACTTATGAAGACACCTCGGAAAGGAAGAAGATTGTAGCTTTACAACAGAGAGGACATTAATGATGTTAATGTTAAGGATGGGAGAAAGGGGGGCATTTATTAGCTAAGCAAAAAGGTGAGACAGTTACCTTACAGACTGTTGATCTGGAGAGAGATAAGCATGGGGGGGGGGGTGGAAGCAGAAGGAAATGATAATGTACTATCAGATCATCATCTCTATTGTGTCCCAGGTTTGGGGTGTTGGGTGGAGTTAGGAGATCTAGTTCGCATCCTTGCTTCTGTGGGATAAGTTCTGTAGTTTCTCTTAAGGATCAGGTCTGAAAGGAGAAAGTGAGAATGTTCTGTTTTACGATAAACACTCCCTTACCAACAGCACAGTGTTTTAGTCTGTGAACGGGGTCTCTGGGAGTTCATGCTGGTGCTGTGTAGTCATTTTCAGCAGCAAAGCTACCAGGAAGGCAGCATGCACAGGGTAAAGTACATTACAGTCCTGGAACTGCAAAGTAAGACCGGAGGATGATGGTGGTTTGATGGCAGGCAGTTTCATTGCTGTAGTAGCGGATGGGCATCAACACATCTTGCATTTCTTGCTCAGGCAGAGTTTTAACTGATCTGGTGTTTTGGACCACAGAGCATTATGCTTCTAATGATGAGTTTTGTGGTTTGGGGTACTTGAAATGTAGGACAAGTGCTTCTGGGAAGATTCTTTCCACAAAGGATTTTTTTCTGTTATGTGAAAAATCATTATACAGTTAAAAACAGTGAGTCCTAGGAACTTTCCTGAACTGACCAGCTCTCAGCCCTCATTCCTTCCCCCACAACACTACCTCCATTCCCATTCCCATTTCTACTTTTTTCTGTCTGAGCTGGTTTTACTGATACATCCTTATCTAAACTCTAAGTAGTTAATCTCAAGTTGCGTTTAGCTTTAGTAGTTACTGCTTCAGAACAAAAGAAATAGCCCAGAGAGCTGTCTACTTTTCCTTCTATACCATTTGGTCTGAAAATAGCTATTATCGACATATGCAAACCTTGTCCTGTATACACTGATCTTTCTCCTAGAACAATCTTCTGGATCTTTGCCCACAGCAGCTTAGAACAGTGACTTTGCAGTATTTCCCAGTTTTGGAAGTACTTCTAAATACTTCAAATGCAGACCCCAAAGGCTCAATTTTAGCCAACTGATGATGGACTTAGGTGTCTTAATTATCTTTCCTGGGTTGTGTGATGCATCCCCAGGTCTGAAGACCACAGGCAGAAAACCATGGATGCTTCCTAAGACTAGTTAGAAATTCACTCTCATCTTCTATGACAAACAGCATATGTAATACTTGTTCCTATCTAAAGATTCAGTGTTCAATTGTTTTAGGATGAATAGGAAAACAATACTGTAATTTAGGGCTGAATATAAATTAGGTTTTGTGCGAGAAAGGAGCTAGTAATTTGAATTACTGATATAGATCTGAAGAAGAAAATCTGTAACTTAAAACTGTAAATACAATATGCAAGGAATCACTTTTTTTTTTCCCTGGAAGATGGAAGAAGATTATAATTTGTGCATATCATTTTGAACTGCTGTCCTCTGAGAAGAGAGTTCTTCACAGAACTCTATAAGCCTCAGTAAATGAGGACATCAGCAACTGGCACATTTAAGATTGTACCATTTCTAAACATGATCCTGCTCCTGCCATCGTTACACAGCATAGAGCTTGCTATTAATTAGTTTGAATGTGGGACAGCACTGCTGGGAGGAAGAAAGTGGCCTAAATAGCAAGGTCCAAATTTTATCTGTAGCTATCCAAGAAATATGGATGTCTTTTATTAACCCTTGCCACCTATGACAGCCAGAAAGAAATGCTGGGTTTGTTGTACTCCTAATGGACTTTTGCAGCTCATTATGGAATAACATGGAAAGGGTGGGAGCATGCTGCAGCTGGCCAAAGAAGTTTCAGACAAATGTGAGGACATTCAGGTGCTCGTCGCAGTGACTTGGTTACTGCACGCTTGGAGAATGTGGTGGGATTCTCCTCCTCCTGCTCTCCAGGAGCACAGTTTATTATTCTTACTGAATTGCACCAAGTACAATAAATCCCCCATTTAGCCTCCATCATTTTTCCAAGCAATGCTTTTGGGAATGCTCCAACAGGACCTCCGCTCTGTGTGAGCAGTGGGGCTTTAGACGTGCAGAGATGACCACTGCTGGAGGTCACTGTGTGCCCATTCACCCCCTCCCCAGAATATAGCAAGTGTTTCAAGAACCTGATGGGAGGTATTCACAAGTCATGAAGCATTCATCTGAATGCAGCTGGAACAGCTGCCCACTGGGCAGAGGGAGGAACTAGAATCTGAAAGCCCTGTTGATACGATTTTCATGTCTCAGGCTGCTGCTGTAGATGTGATAGGAGAAAGTCGCACATAAAACATCACAGTAACTCAGTAGCGAGGTACTTCAGGCGTCTCTGGAGGCGAGTTTGGGCCACTCGCACATAACCGGTTGCATGTGTCAGTGGTAGGTACCATCGCGGTCTCTGCTTTCAAACCGCTGCCGCTCCTGCCCGCGCCCAAAGTTACTGCCGTAAACCTGTCCCCTGCACCTCCGTCCCGCGAAGATGCTCCCGGCTGCCCACTGCACCCCGTTCCCCGACTTCCTCCCCCCCCTCCCCCCCCGCCAACCCTGCTCTTCGCTATGGGACAAGTAACCTTCCCGGCTGCGAACGGGGCCGAAACGAGCCCTCCTGCTCTGCCGCCGGGTTAGACCCCTGAGCTCCGCTGGGACGCGCACTTCACTGGCCTCAACTATCGTCACCACCGGGGAACCCAAGCCCGCCCCCGGGACAGCCGTGGCCGACGCGGTGCCGAGCGAAAAGGCACGGGGGCCCCCCCCCCCCCCGACACCGCACCACAGCCCCCTGCCACGGGGCTCCTCTTTCCCCATCCCTCCCCTTCCTCCACCGCCACCGCCTTTGTGCGCGGTGCGGGGCAGCCCCGCGCCCGCCTGCGCCCGCCCCCGGGTGAGGCGTTGGGAGACGGTCCCTTACGCAGGAAAGTTCGGCGTCGGTTTCAAGGCTCCTCCCTCCCGGTGAAAGGCAGACTGCGGGGCGCCTGGAAACCGGTCGGAGGGAGCGCGGCGCGGCGAAGCGAGGGGCGCGGGCTCGAGGGGCCGGCACAAATGGTCAGGCGGCGGCGGCGGCGGAGGTGGCGGTGGCGGTAGTCGCAGGCGGCGGCGGTAGTCGGAGGCGCGGCGGGCGCTGCCGCCGAAGCGGGCAGAGCTGCGCGCCGCAGCCGCGCGAGTGGCGGCCGGGGCTGTCCCGTCTCTGCCCGCCGCTCCCTTCATGAGTCGCAAGTTCGGGCCGGGAGGAGCAGCAGCGGCAGCAGCGGTGGTGGGACGGCGGGAGCCCGACCGGGCAGGCGGCACCGACTGAGCATGGCCGAGCGGCGCGGGCCGGCGGCGAGCGGCTGCGGGGCAGTTGGCGAAGGGCGGCGGGCGGCCGGTGGTCGGTGCCCGCGGCTGCCGCCGCCGCTGCCGGTGCTGCTGGTGCTGTGGGCGGTGACGCTGCCGGCCGGAGGCCAGCCGCCGGCTCCGCAGGACAACGGTGAGCGGGGTATCTCCATCCCGGACCACGGCTACTGCCAGCCAATCTCCATCCCGCTCTGCACAGACATCGCCTACAACCAGACCATCATGCCCAACCTGCTGGGCCACACCAACCAGGAGGACGCGGGACTGGAGGTGCACCAGTTCTACCCGCTGGTGAAGGTGCAGTGCTCGGCCGAGCTCAAGTTCTTCCTCTGCTCCATGTACGCCCCGGTGTGCACCGTGCTGGAGCAGGCCCTGCCGCCCTGCCGCTCCCTCTGCGAGCGGGCCCGCCAGGGCTGCGAGGCCCTCATGAACAAGTTCGGCTTCCAGTGGCCCGACACGCTGCGCTGCGAGAAGTTCCCGGTGCACGGGGCCGGCGAGCTCTGCGTGGGGCAGAACGCCTCCGAGCGCGGAACCCCCACACCCGCCCTGCGCCCCGAGAGCTGGACCAGCAACCCTCACCGCGGGGGCACCGGCGGCGGCACCGGGGGTGCGGGGCCCGGCGAGCCCCGCGGGCGCTTCTCCTGCCCGCGGGCCCTGAAGGTGCCCTCCTACCTGAACTACCGCTTCCTAGGGGAGAAGGACTGTGGAGCGCCCTGCGAGCCCGGCCGACTCTACGGTCTCATGTACTTCGGGCCAGAGGAGCTGCGCTTCTCCCGCACCTGGATCGGCATCTGGTCTGTGCTCTGCTGCGCCTCCACCCTCTTCACCGTCCTCACCTACCTGGTGGACATGAAGCGGTTCAGCTACCCTGAGCGGCCCATCATTTTCCTCTCGGGCTGCTACACAGCAGTGGCCGTGGCCTACATCGCCGGCTTCCTTCTGGAGGAGAAGGTGGTCTGCAACGAGCGCTTTGCAGAGGATGGCTCCCGAACTGTGGCACAGGGCACGAAGCGGGAGGGCTGCACCATCCTCTTCATGATGCTGTACTTCTTCGGCATGGCCAGTTCCATCTGGTGGGTCATCCTCTCGCTCACCTGGTTCCTGGCTGCCGGCATGAAGTGGGGCCATGAGGCCATTGAGGCCAACTCCCAGTACTTCCACCTGGCCGCCTGGGCTGTGCCAGCCATCAAGACCATCACCATCCTGGCCCTGGGGCAGGTGGATGGAGATGTCCTCAGTGGTGTCTGCTTTGTGGGCATCAACAATGTGGATGCCCTACGGGGCTTCGTACTGGCCCCCTTGTTCGTCTACCTGTTCATCGGCACTTCCTTCCTGCTGGCTGGCTTCGTGTCCCTCTTCAGGATCCGGACCATCATGAAGCATGACGGCACCAAGACAGAGAAGCTGGAGAAGCTCATGGTGAGGATAGGCATCTTCAGTGTCCTTTACACGGTGCCGGCCACCATTGTCATTGCCTGCTATTTTTACGAGCAAGCTTTTAGGGAACAGTGGGAGAGGAGCTGGGTCACGCAAAGCTGCAAGAGCTATGCCATCCCCTGTCCCAACAACCACAGCAGCCACCACCCGCCCATGAGCCCCGACTTCACTGTCTTTATGATCAAGTATCTCATGACCTTAATCGTGGGCATCACCTCGGGCTTCTGGATCTGGTCCGGGAAAACCCTGAACTCCTGGAGGAAGTTTTACACCAGGCTCACCAACAGCAAGCAAGGCGAGACCACCGTCTGAGACCGCTGCCTGCCGTGATGGGGGGATGGCAGGCGGGAAGCCAGCTGGAGGACCGGGGCTCTGCCCTGGGAAGCGGCTCCTTAGCCAGCCTGGGCAAACTTTGGGGACGGCCCCATGTTCGGGGCTGCCGGGCTTTGCCCTCCCTGCTCTTCTCAGGCAGTCTCCCTATAGGAAGTGAACGCACTGTCAGGTTGGGGGAGAGGGATGTAAATAGCCTCTGTAAGATTTTGTAAGTATATTTGTATTTAAATTACAAAAATCTCGCTTTTTTTTTTTATTATTTAGGACACTTTTAACCTGTTCGCAGATTTTGCTTCCTTGCCCCCGTCTCCCCCCTTTTTTATTTAAAAGAAGGCGTTGGGTTTTTATTTCGTTACGCAGGATGAGAAGAACTGCCGGTAAGAGAAACCAAAACACCCCATTTTTCCCCCCCACACCGGCAGGTTTTGTAATGGCTTTGCTCGGAGTTGCATGAGCAGCAGCAGGGACCGGCCCGAAACCGCAGTCGGGGGCGCCGCCTGCCGCGGACTGGGTCCAGGCCGCGGGCCCGGCCTGCCTGAGGTATGTGGCGGCGGAGGTGGTGCTGAGGGACCGCCGCTTCCCTCCCGGCCCTGTATCGGGGGGCACAGACCCCGCCTGCCCTCGCACGGCGGAGCCGGCGTGGGGGACGGTGCTTCCCTTCGCCTTTCCTCGGCTGGGCGCGGCGCGGCCGAGCCCCGCTGACCCGGGCAGAAGCTTTTGGAGGGAGGGAAGATAGAAGCCCTGCCCGGAGGTGTGCCTGCAGCGCGGCCCCCCTGCTGCCCGGGGCGAGGAGCATTGCCCGCCAGCTGCCCTCTAACAATTTGGTGAGATTTGTGTAAACGCACCACGTAGTTTTGAGAGGAGTTGGCCTGTTCTATCGTTAAGAGTTGAGGTTTAACACCGTCTTGCACCTGTAGCATGCCTGATGGTTTAGGAGGTGAATGGGGACATGGATGCACCGAACTTTCCACTTCCTGTGGTGTTTTGTGTTGGTTTTTGTATTTTTAAGCCCACTTTTAGGTCACAAGGCCGCAGTGGGGCTGGCGGAGCTGGGCCGCGGCCGGTGGTCGCCCTGACTCTCTGCGGGTGCTCCCAGCGCCTCCCGTCCCCGCCGGGCTGCTGTTGGCCGGACTTAGGATCAGGAAATACGGGCTGGGTGAAAAAAGCTTCAACGGAATAAAATGCACCGTTCAGATTCTTCTCTTCCCCCCCTCTCCCCTTTATATCCCCCCCCCCCCCGCATTTAATTATATCCATACGCTGGCTCTTCATTTGGGAAACATTGGAGCCATTGCCATTCCCCTGAATTTTAATTCATTGGCATTTAATTCATTACACGCTATGAGGGTGTGATGATTTTCGCCAGTAGTAAAAACAAAGGGAAAACAGGAAACCAGAATGTTTTAAGCACGCTGGTGGGATGTGAGACCTGAAAGAGCCTCTTCTGTCTTCCCTCCTGCCACTTTTTTTTTTGGTACAGTAATAACAGGGCATACCGCAAAGATAAGATACTATGCGTGCAGTATATCTACTGCCTTGTATGCTCTTGGGTGTGTGGGATTGTGCTCCTTAATACGAAGGAAAAAAAAAAAGGTTAAAAATGAAATTGTAACTTTCGACAGATGCATTGAGTATTTAGTCCTCTGTATGAAAAACAGCAGAATGCTTCTTTCCTGATTGTATTGTTTTAAACTTTTTTTTATATTACAAATGCCTGTATTTAGGTTCATAAACATTATCTATGGCTACCATACCCTGAAATGCAAAATTATTTGAATTTGGTATGCATTTATTTCTGTTCATTATCACAAGATCATCTATATTTATAGAGGAATAGAAATTTATATATATTAAATACCATATTTTTAATTTCTCTGAAATAAATTGAGGTTTTGTAAAAAACTATCTTGTCACTTTACGTATTCCTCTGACTAACTCACATGCTCTGTGAAAGCAGTGTATGTATTACAGGATGTGTGGGATTCCTTTTTTCTTTTCTTATGTTGAGTTCACAGTAACAAGCTGGAATTCAGTGTAGGAATTCATTGTGCATTTGGGTTTTTATCTCTGGGCCGGTCTAGATTAATCCTTCAAAGGAAGTAAGGTAAATTGTTCAAGATCTCTGACAGGGTATGGTCGGTGGTGTGAAATCCAAGAAGAGATCTGCTATATGGCAGAAGAAAGAAACTCACCAGTTCTTTTTTTTACCTTTTTGTTAAAGGGTTCTCCCAACTTAGCCTTTCTTCTCCCGTTCATGTTAAAATGAAATAAAGAAAAAAAGGATTTACTTGCTGCTCAGAATGACACTTAGACTATGTTGTAATATTGTCAGAGTATTTTAATGAGTAAAATAGTTTGGTTTCCCTGAATTTGGAATGTTTGGTTAATCCGGAGTTAAATGGTGTGTTCATGGAAGCATTTCAGCTTTATGGGAAGTACACGCATTCTTAAGGCTTCCAGCACAACATGTCTTTTTTTTTTTTTCCTTCTCCTTTTTATTTTTCCTCCCCCTGATTCATTGTTTCTAGTGCCATTCTGCAAGCATGGCTCTGTTGAGAAAGACTGGCTAATTATGAGACTTGATTTCTGTTTTCTAGTGTTACAGGCTAATGCAGTGTTTCACTCTAGATCTAGAGGGAGATGTAAATGTTTTTGGCTCGTTTACTTTTTTCAAATTGTGATGCATAAACAACCACAGAGAAATGAGGGAAGGTCAACAAAATTAATGAGGTGAGACAAGGACTGGGTTTTTTTTTCCTTATTTTTTAATTTGTTTTACATAAACATAGTTCCTGCTATCTCAGATATTTGGCACATTTTTCTCAGTTCTTTCTATACCCCCTCCCTTTTTGGGGGGGATATTTTAGCATGTAAAATCGTACTGGTCAACACTCAGCTAATGACCTGAAGTACAAGCCATTCAATTTCAGTTGCAGTGGAATTCTTTTTGGCCAGTGCACAATTATGTTTGAGTTGTTTTGACTGATCTGTTTCCTTGCAGCTGAATGTATGTGATTTATATATGCACAGGAGAGCACATTTATTTGTAATAAGAGATTTTATATTTATTATGGTAGGGATGAGAGGACCAGTTTTTTAAAAATTTCAAAGAGGAATAATGAAATTTTCATTTCTACATGAAGTAAAGATGTTAGTATTTGCAGTTCATGATTTGAAGCAGATACAAATCTCCTTCAGTTCTTTGGCATTTCTCTTCATAGATGGCAGAGAGCTGAAGCTCCATGTTCAATCTTCGTTATTTTCATAAATACACTAGAGAGCACAATAGGTTCATTTAAAAATTGCACAAAAGAACAACTGCCTGCTTTTTTGTTTGCTGATTTTTGTGAACTTTCACAAAAGTAATTTGCAAAGGTCACAGTCATTGCTGAATGCTGTGGTGCTATCTACTTTTTTATACTTCTATTTCTCAACACATAATGGTACATGAGACTCAATATGATACAAAGGTGTCTTTTGCATGGATATATTGCAGTCATCACTAATGTTTCACTCAGTGTTGAAAACAAATCTATTCATTTGGCTCCAGGGAATTTAGATAGGATTTTTTACAACACAGTCTGCGTAACTGATGTGCCATGTTTACCAGAGAAGGTAGCACTGGTATACAAAGAAGCAGCATTGCCCAGTTATCCCTAAAAAGAAGGATAATGTAGGAATGAAACTGGTATAACAAAGTTTGTTTGGCTGGAAGTACTCGTTAAGGCATTCCTTAGTCAACAGCTTTGCTTTCTCTCATGGGATATATTTATAGCCTGAAATGGAGGGGCACTCAGAGTCACCATTCCCCTGAAGAAGGCTGTATCCTGGAGAGCTGGGGATGTTGGTTTACCCTTCATCCTTCAGTAGCAGTAATGCTCTTTAATGTAGTGGCAAATTTGTGGTATTGGAATGAAATGATACGCCATTTCCATAGCAAATCCTATTGGTAAGGAAAAAGGATTTCTGGTTTGTTTATATAGTAATGCCCCAGAGTTCTGGTGTATACATATACTTGTAGAAGTGTTGGGTTTTTTTTACTTGAGTGGCAAAGCTGCAATCTAGCAGGCCTGAATTCTGCCCTCTGGATGATGCCCAGCCTTCTGCTGCCATCCCAGTGTTGCTTGTTGAGCAGGGTTACAATTACAGATGGTGCTGAAGATACCTTTCATTTAAATGGACAGTATTTGCATATTATTTTTTTATTCAAAGGGATGATAATTAGGCAAAAGAAGAGGCTGCTGTATATGTATAGGATAAGTATTTTTCAAAGTGGGCTATGGGCTCGTACCTCATCAGTCCTTTGCCACTCACAGTTACAAGAGACAACTAGACCAACAGGGAGAACCTTCTGTAAAGGTGTTCGCCCTGCAGCTGACCAGAGAAGGTAATCGTGGGTTTGGTGTGGCACACATAGTTTAAAACTATTGAGGATACTCTCGCAAAACCTTTGCATTTGTGTGACATAACATCCCAGTGCTACATGGCCTCAGAAGGAGCTTAGGCTAGCAAAACTCATGAGGGCTGAAGAGGTGGTGAGTAAGAAGTTAAATGTTTACCTATAAAAATAAGGAAACTGAGGTAATGTGTTTTCATCACAAATTGACCCTCTAGTGCTCAAACACTGGAATTGTGTTACGTTTGATGTCTCCAATGATAGCAGTACAGCACTGTATGGCAATACTGTGCAAAATCAGTTCTGAGTATCAGTTCACCCCCTTTTTGATTCTCTCAGATTTCTCTTAGTCATTTGCACTTGTTGAACCGAGAGCATCATAGCTCTGTATGTTATGCAAACTTAGAGTGGATGGGTAGTATAGATTCAGAATTAAAATGTTGTTTAAAAAATACGAGTCTTTCAGCTGTTTAGTCCCATTAGAAGTGAGGGTTGCTCTTGGGCCCATAGCTGCAGGAGTTTCTCATATTTGTAAATCTCTTCCTTCTGTTCATCAGTTGAGCTGGAAGGCTTAGGCAATGATTCACGCTCATATGGAGAAAGGGAACTTTGTTTTTCTTGCTTTGACTGAACCCCTTGCTGCCTCTGTGTTTACAGAAGTGTCACCCGAGAAATGCTTTGTTCTGAAGCCCCTGATCAGCTCTGAAAAAGTAGTACCATAATTTTAAAAATGGGTTAGAGGCTTTAGGAAGCAAGGCTTGATGACTTAATGCTGAGGTTTTGCTTTTCACAGTTTAGTTTTTAGAAGTCTCCAGGCATTTTAAGACATGAAATAGCTGCTTGAGGACAAAGTAAACATGCCAGGATTGAGTCCTGGACACATTGCAAGTATTATGAGCCCCATATTAATTTGAGAGTAGCCCAGTGACAGTGTTAAACCAGACTAGGTAACACTATGCCATGTAAGGAAAAAAGAAAGGCATATTTGTATTTACTTGCCAACTGAAATGTACTCTACACCTTTACTTAAGTCACTGAGGTCACTAAATGGACAAGCAAGTATTTCTGTCATACGGGAGAAATTCCAGTGAATTAGCAAAACAGGCCTTAATAAGCAATATATAATTGCAAGTGCAGCATTTTCCAGATAAAAGCAATACCACTTTGATAGTTCAGTTGTAGACAATTCTTTTGAAAAAATACTTTAAGAAAACATGTTGGTTTTGTAACTCATGGCAACTGTGTTTCAGATCTCGGCTTATGTTTAGTCTAAACTTCCAGTGTAACCACATCAGAGAGTCTTTCAGGCATGAGGTCTTGCCCTTGTTTGCATTCAAATCAACAGCATTAAGTTGATTATCTTGAGGTTGAGTAAATAAACTTTAGTCTTCTACTCAGACAACACTTAATGAAGACCCGCATTCAGCCAAGGACCTCGCATGAAATGATGCTGGGTGGAGACCCCCACAAGCCTTGCCTCTTCCCAGTATCCCAAGGTTTTGTTGCAGTATGTAAAAGTATTGGACATGATTGAACTGCACTAAGGTGGAAACTTAACAATAATCATTAAGCTGATGTAAACATGCTGCATTGGGAGACTTCTGTCAGCCACCATGTGAAGTATTTTTAGTGGACCATCTTGGAAATAACTTCATCAGAAATACTGAAGAGACAGGCTTTTATTTGCAATTAGCTGGTGGGTTTTTGTTTTGTTTTGATAGTTGCATTGTTTAATTAAACATTGTATGCAGTGTTTAATAAGGTGTTACCCTAGGCTAAAATATAAAACTACCAGATGTCGATAGTGCAGCACAGTAGATAGAACTTGTCCACCTTATGTTATCACCAGGATCCCTTTGGGTGAGGGAGAACAATATTTTTGTGTGTATTTATTTTGTGTAGTTCTAGTATAACTTGGCTAATATTAATTACTTACTACAGCACAATTTAAAAGTAATTCGTCATGTGGTAGTTTGATGACAAAGATCACAAGAAAAATGAAAGTGGCCTGTATCTCTCAGGTGGGATGTCTTGATGCTGTTTTGTTGCATACTTGCTTGTATAATTCAGATCTTTTGTAACTGTTTTACATCCTGTGACTCAGTGCTAGTCTTGTTGCTGTATTTAAGTGACAGTATGACTCACCGATGCTGTATGACTTGTCATCTTGTCTTGTTTAGGTTAACTACTATTGCTTTGTTACCGGTGACTTGTTTGACTTCCTCTACCACACTCAGAGTACTTCACAAGTTAAGGACAGGACTGCTAGCCACAGGACTGTGCAGTCTGAGCAAGACAAGAGCCTGGGATCCACCCCCCCACACCCCCCCGCCCCCAGCAGCTTGCCCACCGCCAGTTCAATGGTGGCTGCTGCTGCATTTGCCAGTGGACTGTCACCCTCCCTCAGAGGTAATGCTCTCATTTCTCTGGGAACTCTGAATGTCCTGGCAGCAGCACTGCTGGGACTATGCTGAATTGGCTCATTTTCCTGGCTGCTCAAGCGATGTGCTGGCTCTTTTGGTTTTCCCCCACCTACCTAGGGTGGAGGCTATCCTGGCTGCTCTTAATCCCTGCCTTTGGTGGAGGAAGTTACGGGCAGTATGTGCCATTACAGCATCCCTGGCTGACCTTCTGCGGCTCCTGTTCTGCTGATCGCCTCCCCTTGCCTTCTCGGTAATTTCTCTGAAAGTTGCCTTGTTCCAGCCATTGCCAGAATGTAACTCATTCACATCTCGGTTTATTCTTGAGTACTGCCTGTGCAGTATTTGTCATGTTCATTACAAAAACATTGCTGTCCTAATGGGGAAGTGACTTACTCTCAACGTGTTTGACAGCTTCATTAATCATGATGTTTTACTGTTAAATGCAAACACATATACTATCCCAAAGGATAATACTGAGAGTATAAGGTGAGCAAATAAGGATCTTCTGTTGGGAAGAAAATGTTGCAGATCACACCTTCATGATTGCCTTCAGCAAAAATGGCTGTTTCATTTATAGCCTACTAATATGCATCTAAATCTAATGCATCTAAAGAAGAAATAAAATGATTAAAAAAAAAAAGCCAACACAAAACCTCAAAGTGGGCTTCTTAAAATACATAAATAAAAAAAGAATAGCAGGATAAACAGGTCACCACAAAGTCAGATTTTGCTATGGTGCTTGTTAGCTTTCCAGTACTTCTTTGTCTATTATGGTAAAAGCTTCACTTTATTGTTTTGTGAACAGAGAGGAGAATTAGTCACTTCTTAGCATGAAGACCTCTGTTAAAAGACTGAAAGCAGTTTTATTTATTTACTGCTTAATTAAAAAAAAATTAATTCTGAGGGAAATGAAAGAAATTTTGCAAGCTGCACAGAGGGGTCAGTATTTTGTAGGATTGGGCACTTCACTGTCAATAAAATTAAAAGAAGCAAATGGTGCTCACCTGCAAAGGCAAGAAAATGAGTTCTGCCTGCTTCCAGTTAGGAGCTGCAACTCAGATAGCATTAACGTGGTGTCTGAGCACAGCCTCTGCTTCCTGGCAAACAGGCAAAAATTTGCAGATCTGAGTGGAGTAGTACAAGCCCTATGCCCATATGTGACAACAAAGGGTGACCACTGTGATGAATGCTACTGGACCTGGCACACTTGGCATTGTGCTGAGGACATGAGGGGAGAGAGATGGAAATGGGGGTCTGGTAAGGCAGGGGGCTGTCGTGTGCAGTCAAGGAGAGGTCAGAGAGGCAGGAGCCGGAGGTGGGACTGCTGGGGAAAGGCAGTAGGAGATGATTGTCTGCATGGGTCAGATTTGAGATGATGAGCTGGGAACTGTGGCCATGCAGGATTGGTGTCTCTCCTACCAAGGGTGGCTGAAGGCAACCGTAACTCAGATGCAGGAAGGGGATGACTTCCCAGGATGTTCAGAAACCATGGGGAGGTTCTCCAGCATGTGTCCCAAGGCCACAGAAGATGGAAGTAGAGAAACAGCTTTTGGTCTGAGTGTTTCTGAATCACAAGAGAATGCCCTCTTCGTTGCTTCACAGAATAGGGTCAAGCAGAGTGGGCTGTAAAACTGGGGCTGTGTGTGGTGGTGGGCTGGGGTACAGGGCAAGGTGAGGAGCCCAACCAGAACCATCTCTCTCTAGGTGCCAACCACAGGGTTTCCGCCAGGTTTCCCTGGATCCTGTTTTCTACTCCAAGATTAAAAATCTCCCCTCAGGGGAGAACAAATAGGAAATTGTGTGGTAGGTTTTGCTATGTTTCCAGCTGACTTTTTCAACAGAAGCAGGCAATTGGGCCCAGTGTTTCTTAAGACATCTTTACAGTTAGAGTAAAATTCCAGTTCTGCTGAAGGCGAAGCTTCCCGTTGGCCTCAGGAGGGCTGTAATTTCATCTTGGCTTCAAGATGCATTAGGAAGTGCACGGAGATCCTGCAAACAGAAGGGAAAGTAAAAAATAAAGATTTCTCATTCAGAAGCTGCTCATAGTGCTGAGTTCATTCCATCAGGCTTCAAAATATTCTCATTGTTTTTCTGATCTTGTTTATTGAGAGTATATAGGTTCTATCCAGGGGCAGGCTTTATCTGAGCATCTGTGACTTCAGTATCTCACTCCTCTGTTTTGTCAAAAAAGAAGAAGAGATCAAGATCAGTTTCTCAAAAATGATCACTTACAGAATACTTGTTTTGATTTTATTTAAAAACAAAAAAAAAAGTTGTAATGTCTATTTGAAACAGAACTACTTCTGTGAATGCCAGCATTCTGAATGTCTAGCAGGTATTTCTACAATCATTTGTTTTTCCAATTCTTTGTAAAAGTCCCATTTTATACTTTCTCAGAAGTGTTTTTTCTTGCAGCGGTTCTGGAAATATCTTTTTCTTTGCAGCCAGTGAGAGGATGTGTACCATTGGTGAGAGCAGGCACAGGCAAACTGCAAAACAACATAACCTGTGGAATTAACACTTCACGTTGACACCCATTAAAAATATTCAGAGATTGACTCAGCCTGCCCATGTTGTACAAATAACATGCTTGGCTCTGAATGATTCAAGATCTTATCTGCTCTCAGTGCAAGTTCAGTATGGAGGGCCTGATCCTGTTCTCATTAACCTCCAAAGGAGTTTTGCTACTCACTTCAAAGAGAATTACATCAGCAGCATTTGCAGTGAAGCACACGCAGCTCCTGTATCTTTTCCCTTTTTTCTTTCTCTTTTTTAAAAAGATTTATATTCCAAACAACAGCAAAACAAAAATAAGGCTTGGAAACAGTCAAAATAAATCTGCTGTCTGTTGAGCATTGTTGTCATATGAGGGCTCTGTTTGGAGTTCTTAACTGCAAATTGACAGTAGAAACCAGTAAGAGCTGAGATCATCAAGGGGTTGGTTGTATTTGAAGCTGAGTACCCTCAAGTCCATTGTCCCCATGACAGGAGCCTTGCATGGTCCGCGGTATTTCTTTGCACTTTTCACAACTAGTTGCAAAGAACTGGAGCTGAGCCCTTGAGTTCAGCCACTGGCAATGTATCCATGTGAACCGCAGTGCCTACAGTGGTCACTGCAAACAGCCCCAGGGAAGGTAACCCTTTTCCTGGTTTGTTTTCCCTGTGCATAGCTTTTGAAAAGAAGGAAGCATGTATGGAGGAGGGACGGGATGGAACAACCATCCGGTATTTTATTTGTTTTTCTGTTTCTTCTAGGTTGTCATATTAAATAACAGAATGAATGCATCCATTTTTTGCCTTATTAGTCTTATTATTTTATAGAAGAAAAGCCTTGTGACTCTCAAATACACTGGTTTCTATGGTGAAGGGAGCATTAAGCTTGTCACTCAGCCATTCTATATACTTCATATGTTTTAAGAAGAACCCTCTTTGTGCTGAAAGAGCACAGCACACTGAATGCATTCCCCACCTTGGTGCGCACTGCCCCTGGTTCCAGAAGAACTGTGCCTGCCTGTGAAGGCCCAGAGGGAGTCCTTTCCTCTATTGTCTCCTTTCCTTCATCTCCAGGCCATAACCACAAGCACCTGCTTTGGTTTAGATGCTGATCTCTGCTGCATATTTGTCCATGTGGAAACCACGCAAGATCATCATCTGCTGCTACCTGGCACGCACTGGTAAACAGGTGGTGACAAACTTCAATAGTTGCTCCTATGGTCTTCCAAACTGAAACCTTTAGACTTCAGTTTAGTGGGTCTGGTATCCCCGTTTCCTGTTCTCTGAAGCTCACTTACCTGGTTTCAAACCTATGAAGTCATCCACTGTGGGGGATGCACTGTGCTGTCCCAAGGGAGTAAACGTGAACCAGCTTGCTTCTAGTCTTTGAGGTTTCCCCCCTCCTCTCTACTGTTGCCCTGTTTTATTCTCAGTCATCCTTGCCAACTCCTTCCCATGCCAGAAGATGGTTTCCTTACCCCATGCTGCAAACACCCTTTTCCCTTCTGGCTGTGGGCAGGCATCCCTCCAAGCTGTTTCATTCTTACTTTGGCAAGTCTTCTAGCATGATAATCAAGGCAAATGACATGTGGGGACGTGAATCTCTGTTTTTTTTCTCCACCATAACTATCTCAGCCATGGGAAGGAACCCGAGTTCATGTGTCTCCTCCAGTGAGTGTCCCCATCTTAGCCCTGTATTGCTCTGCACAAGTATTCACTGAGGTACAAAGGGAATGAGACTGAAGTTCAGAGTTTAGCATACCCAGTGGGACTTAAAGTCTGAGTTCTTATGACTGTTCTATGGTTGAGAGAATGGGAATAGGCTTGGATTTTCTGTATCTCCTTTGCGTATCCTGATAAATAGGTTATTCTGAAGATGTGTCCTCTTTTTTTTCAGAGAGGAACTACTAAACATCTAAGGTTTCTTCTAATGCAAGATGGGAAGAAAACTGAAATTGTAAAGTTTCAGAGGACACATAGGTGACCTGTTTCCAAAGAGTACGTGACCTCTTTCCAAAGCATCATGACAAGTACCTGGTGCTTGGCTCTTTAGTTTGGCCCTTGCACTCTGTCCTGTCTTCTTTCTGGTGTCAGGAGAGCCCAAAAACCTTTCTGAAATGCACTGGTGAATTTTGACATGGTTAATATGGAAACAAACACAGACTTTTAACAGTGAAACTGCTGAATGAGAGAAACATCCCAAGGTTTCAGTGGAAGCTCTGTTAATTGGAGAGTTTAAATCTAGAAGAGCTATCTTCCCAAAAGATAAGCTCTTATATACCTTCACATTATTATATTTGATTCAGCTATTACTGATACAATTCTGTGTCTGGTTTGAGGCAAAAGACTGGGTTAAATAATTCTAAATGTTACTTCTGGACTTAAACTCTGTCAGTGACAGATCCTGCAGTGAGTGCATTGCCTGGAATCTGGAAATTGTTTGGATGGTTCTGCTCTGAGTTCCTTTGGTAGACATCATCAAGGAGGTTTATGGGGAGTCCCAGAGAGCACCCTAACAATTGGTGTGAAGACTGGGGCAGCAGCGTGACTGTTGGAAGCTGCGTTGCTTAGCAGGTAGATGGAAATGATGCAAAAGGTGAGCAAAGACATGAGCCCTGCCCTGCCACCACTCAGCCCCTCTGAAGTAAAAAGGGTAGAAGATATAAAGGAGGACAGCACATAAACATGACAATAGCTCATTAAGAACGCCTTGATGTTCTTCTGCCCTGTTCCTCCTGGAAAAAAAATGATTTTAGATAATCACAAAAACATGTCCTGTAACAAAACCAAATCCCTACCACCTCTGAGTCCGTTGAGAAGATGACATGCTTTTGGCAAGTGCTTCAATAGCCACTGAAATGCCCAATGCATGTTAACAATCTAACCAATAACTTATAGGTTCCTAGTGTTTTTTTTTATTCATTGAAGAACATTGACAAAACTGCAAACACATGTTTCTGCTGCTAAAGCTTAGTCTTATCACAGTTTGAAAATGTGGAAAATCAATTACATGCTTTGAATTACTCCCTTTATTGCCATAAAAGAATTTCTTCATTCTTTCAGGGTAGCGTACACTTAGTAACATCTACCACTAACAGGCTGTTAGGACTTTCTGCTAAATTAATACACTACAAGTAAACTAAACAGAAGGCCAGTGGAATGCTAAACATCCACTTTCTCCTCTGTTGTGGCTGTATTGCAGCTTGGGAACCCTTAGCCTTGTTGCTACAACATCTGGACAACATTTGGGGCTGTCTCTCAAGTGCACGGGTGTGCACCTCCGGTGAATTTTAACTTTCAACATCTCTCTGCCTCTAATCTATATTTAATGTTTCATGACTAGTAGTCAAAGAAACTTCAGCTAAATATCAGGTTGGAATGAAAATGATCCTTGGGAAAACACTAATTTTCAGCATTCGCTGGCAAAGTAGCTGTGACAGAGACGTTCCCTGGAGATTTGTAGCCCATTCTCTCACAGTAATAATAATTAAGACTCATGATTACTGTGCCCACATAATCAAAGATCGCTTCATAAAATGTACTCCCTAAAGGGACGAATTCCCTGCTCCTAACTGGATGTCAGTCAGAGGGATCAGCACCCCCAGGGATCGGGAGTCTTTGCTTGCCCTTTTCATTACCGTGTTGTTAGCATTGTGTTACTTCATATTCTTCTTAATGCAAATGAGTAGGTAATCATGTGTAAATCGTGCCCTCCAGAAGGCACATGTAGTGAGTTTTTTTCCCCAGATCTACCACAGGGATTTCTCACATGGAACATAATTACATCTCTGCCATATGGGCTCATTTATATTCTATTACAGGTTAAGCTAATACGACTCAGAAATATGCTAAAAATACCTCAAAGTATTTTGAGCACTGTCAAAACACTTGTCATTTCTTGCTTGCCTGTTTGATTGTGAGTGACTTTATATTTATTTAGAGATCTGCAGTGCCAAGCAACTTCAGAAAAACAAAATTAGGCCAGTTCTGTGCTGCCCCGTCTCCAAAAAATGCTTTAAATTCCCTCCCATGACATCTTCTTTCAGTAATGGCAAATAGATCAGTGAACAATGAAGCTGAAAAGCCTCTAAGACATATTTACCTGTAGCAACACCTCCGTGGGTTTTAGATTTCCCAGGAGGAAGGGAGCATCCGCTTCAGCTACATAGCTTTGTCATCATTAGGCTGGATCAGGTCTGCGTTGATCTAATTACTTTGTTCTGACAAAGCTATACTTGCACTTTAGCCATAATAAAAGTACAAACCTCTCTACCCATGGAAGAAGGCTACTGTGGAAATAAATGTTGCCTAAAAAATTATGGTAAAACAAGAGTAGGTCAGTGGTGAGTGCCATAAATGAATACTTTAAAACTGAAGCAACTAAAGGTTATATAACACTGCTTTCAGGATTGTGGGGCTACATAATAATATGTTATTTTCCAATTTCAGTGGAAATGTTTAATTTCACTGTAAGATTTTCTTTGAAAAGATTTTAAAACTGCTATTGTTTCACTGGTTTCTAAAGCTAATACCACTAACATCTCTGGACAAAATCTGGGTCCAACACAATTAATCCTAATTTTATTATTTTTATTCATACATTCAGTATTTCACCCTTTGAAATTTGATCAGATTTCCTTTATTCCACTAGCTAAGAAGGAAACATGTAGAAAGTAATACACAGGTAGGAGGATTAAACCAGAGGATGGGAGTGGACCTCATTGGACCTGCACATGATAGTTCAGATGATACATTGCAAAAGCGGTGACTGACCTTTGTTCCAAGGAGACACTAGAAATTGGATGAGGGCTTTGCAAACAGCAGCTGTATGTTTCCTATAACCAGGAGATAAAATTCAGTTCTGATTTATAAAGCCCTTTGAGGTTTTCAGTGGTGGAAAATTCTATGTAGGTATAAAATCAATTCTGTAACTATGAAATAAATTCTGGTACCACTCTAGAACTGAGTCATATTTTTCAGAGCGTTGCTAGGAAGTGTTTGTTCTTTTGTTTTCAGGTTTTATTTTGCAATGGAATAATAAACATTTTAGATTATTCAGCACTTGAAAACTAAGTCCAGCCTTTCCTGAACGCTTTTTGCATATTTTCAGAGAGCAATAATTACTGCTAACACGTTATGCTCAGATGTCTGCAACAAAGTACGTAAGCAACTAACGTTACATGTATGGAAAGTCCCCTTGAAGTCAAACATTTAAGTACTTTTTTGGATCAAAGCCTAAAAACTATGATGTCTGTAATTGTGCAATAGCATCAGACTCACAGGAGAACTTTCTTGGAGTTTACCTTGTTCTTAAAAAACGACTTTCAAAATTAGCTGAAACATTAGGGTTTTGGTCAAAGTTGTGCACTGGCCATTGCTGAATAAGGAGAGCAGTCTGTTTGACTGTGTGTTCCTTGCATAAACGAAAAAAAATCAGGCCAGCTATGAGTTTATTACCTGAGAAAAGCATTTTTCCAGCCTTCGTTATTCCTGAAGCAGTGTAAAGGACACTGCAGTGATTTCATACATCAGGGAGGCATAAAAAAGAGAGTGGTCTCCTGGGCTGTGAAACAAAGAGAAACAAACTTCAATTCTCAGAGCTCTCTTCAGAGCTAACTCCATTAAATAATGTTTTAATTCAGCTGTCATGAGCATTTGATTAAAGAACCTGCTATACAATTTCTTTTGCAGTTTCTGTAGCCCTGACTGTGTAAAAGCGTCCCATGCCCTTGGAAAAACAACCTCCCCCTTCTGCACACAAAAGGGAGTCTTTTGCTCAACATCTTCACAGCTTGCTTCCTTTTTCTTCAGGCAAGGTTTTTCATTTTCATTCCACAGTTTCATTTAATATAGACGTACGGTCACTGTGGATACTGCACCAAGAGATTGCTGTATGCCTGTCCTGGTTTTATGCTCCTCCCTGGGCATCCAGCATTTTCCACTGCTGTAGTCATGTCAGGGTAGTGGCATGAGGTGATGGCTGTCCTGGTATCCCCATGTCACACCAGAGCATGGGCAGAGGCAGCGGGGAGGGGTAGGGTGAACAGATAACAGCGCTCTCAAACATTCAGGACAGCAACATTTCCAAGAGAGAGGATGACTGTTAATGTGCCCTCCTGGAACTCTCCCTTATTAGGGTGGTGGCAATCTGCTGATATTTGCATTGCATATTTATCAGCCATATGTCAGTCTGTCAATATTTATCTCTCGGTGGTGGGCAGCCATGGTTTTTAAGCAGAAATATCTAGCTGGTGCTGCACGTGTATGCTCAGTTGTGTGATCTGAGTTAGGCTTTTGTTTGCAATTGGTTCCTGGATGGAAAGTTCTGGTCTGCACTGGAAATGAGTGCATTTCAACATGCGTATGTTTTGCAGGAATAGGTAAATCAAGTACCTTTGTATGAAATTTTGATACTTGTATCCATACTGATGTTTTAAATAAATCATTCCTAGATATACAAATCACTGTACAGTTAAGTTTGGACCCTCTTTGTCATTTGATGGATAAATGTGAAATTCTTATGCTGTCTAACATGATCTACTCTCTGCTAATACCCAGTTCTCTGAAACACTTTGAAATGAGAGTTTACGTCATCCATTTGGCTAACACACAGTGTCTGCTTTCCAAATCTGTGTAGATCATAATCTGTTTTAATACCTGTACAAATCAATTAATTTTATTTTGTGCACTGTTCACTGTATACCAGATTGGGTGGGAGAGTAGAAACACTTAGCAGGGGAATCAGACTTCACATAAAAGTGCATTAGATAAGCTTTGCAATGTTTGTGGGGGAGGAAGTGAAATTTAGCATTTAATTCCCTCATCTACAGACAGATTAAAAAATGGCTTCCAGAAACAAAAATATAGGGCAGGGTTGTGGAGCCCTTACTCATGCTGCTGAGCAGTTTCACATTGGATTTATCCCACTGAAGCTTAATAATATCACCTCCAGGGTGGCTGAAAGGATGCAGAATTTCTTGCGAGGCACTTTGATGCTT